CAATAATTGTGGTTGGTAATATATTCTGTAACATATACAAATTCTAGAGCAGATGCCAATGATTGGGTAGTGTACGGCTAAGATCGGTATAAGAGCCATTGAAACTTCAGTAATTATAGTTCTTTTTTCGTGGAGTTGAGTTTTGACCTCCCCAATCAAGATAATGACGGATTGATAGATATTGACACGAAAATTAGTATTACAACTTTAGGATCGGTAAAAGGGTCATTGAAACTGCAATAATTATAGTTCTCGTTCTTCAAGGATTAAGTTTTTGACGACCCCAAATAAGAACGGATGGATGGTTATATATAGCTTTTAAGCTATATACAGCCTTTTGCAAAAATTATGAGAATTGTCTAAATATCTAAATATCATAATATCCATATCCATATATTGTCCGGAACACGCGGGTTTGCTAGAATAATTCATTGTTGACATTGAGAAAATGTTCAGAACTACGGATAAGTCTGTCGCCAAAAAAAACTAAACAACAAAGACAAGGGACTAAGGGCATCGCGCTGGATCATGCACTTGATATTATGATATTTAGATATTTCAACAATTCTCATAATTTTTGCAAAAGGCTGTATAATAATACATGTATAATATAAATAAAATAAATAATATAATATAACAAACAGCTTATAATGCCTGTAAAATAAAATATGAAAAATATTTTTGTTAAAACATGTTTAACAAGGTTGGGAACTAATTGTGGGTAGCAATATTCCTTTGTCAGGTATTTATTTAACTTAAATTGTAAATAAAGTATATTATTGTCGTTGTTGTTGAACAGATGCCCATGACAATTGGTATAACAAATGTAAGCTCGGTGTAAGGGCCATTGAAACTCCAATTATCCCGTTACTTCAATGATCGATTTAGGACCACCACAATGAGATCAAGATTTGTAATCTTTAAGTTTAAAAGTTTAAATTGTCCCATAGCTGACATTGTTGTTCCGCAGTGATCGATGTTGAAACAACACCAATAAAACATTGATGAGTGGAAATTTCTTTTGTAAGTTTTCAAAGAAAATGCAATTTATAAAGAATTGTATTGAACCACAATGATAACAGTTAGGGACATTTGAACTACAGTGATTATATTTCGATTGCTCTACAGTGATTATTTCAGTTGAATTTTAAAGCTATGGCAATATTACTTGGAACCTGTCCGAGATATTTATATATCTTACCAATATAAACATAATTTATAGAACAGGCTGGACAACAACATCAAATTAGAAGCGTGGAGGCTCAGTAACTAGAGTTACAAGAAGCTAGCAGCGTTTTCGTCCTTGATACTTACTTTAGGAACGGCTCGTTCAATAAATGAAAAATAGAAAGAAGCGCTTACAATAACTGGCATTCTCAGTAAGGTTTTCTTGCCTGAAACACTTCACTAAATGCAATAATACTAGATGCTAGAGTGTGTTTTAATTTTGAAAATTTCAAGTGTTTTAAGATCGATTTCCTTTTCCCCCAGGGTTCAATTCTAGGACCACTCTGCGGTACCTTTATAACTTTCAGCATATTACATTAAACTTATCATAAACATAACAAAGTTATTATTAATAATCAATTCTTGATCTCATGAAAGGAAAAGTATGTTCGCCATTGTCTTATCGAGCAACGGATCGCTCTTCATGAAGTAGAATTTTTTTCAGGAATTTCCAGATGATTGAAACAGCAATAGGCATGATTTCATCGCTCATCATATAATAGTTTTGTTTTTGAGTTTATRTATTGAGCTGYGATAACGTTATCACTACGGAGACTGAGATTTGAGTGGGAAATCGATCTATAAACCATAAAAAAGGGCCCTGGAGCTACTGTCTTTAGTGAAGCAAGAATTACATTCGAAATCGTTTTTTTTTTATTTTGCACTGATGAATGACATGAAATGTCTCCTCTTCTTAGACGACTTTAAGATTTCACAGTTTGATAAATTGAACGAGTCAATTTTAATTTCACTATATTTTTCTTTTTTTTTATGTTTACTTCCAGATAACACTTGTAAATCGAGTTAAATGTGCTTTCGAACACTCGATCAATTAATTGGATCTTTTTTGTTTACGTATAGCGTTCGCTGAATAACCAATCGGTCTCTTTGAAGCAGTTGTCRGTGGGTATACTTTAAAGCAAGCTTTACTTCCTCAAAAATACTCTTGATTTTTAATATGATTTACGGATTGATAGTCAAAAGTGTATATCATATAATTAGTGATRCTATTCGGTTCGAATTTTATCAAATGTGCAAGAAAATGGCAAATGTTTTGAAAATGTAATGCATTTTAAGATATATATTACTCTCTACATTAATTCATTAGACATAATAATTAACATACAGGACATACAGTATATGTGTACAGTATTGTTATATAATTCCTTGTTTTACATTAATTTCATATTCATATAATTAACCGACGATGAAGCAATAGCTACATAAAGGTGCTTCGTGTAGTCAAACGTCAAGACTTCAATATGAAACGCGCGCTGTTCAACGGCTGTTGAACGGCTTGTGAATAAACTCAACACTATAATTAATGCTGTAATCACGTGTTTGCTCTAACGAAGGATATAAATCAATAAAAAAGAGCACTTTAGGTTTAGAATACTGGACTTTGTATATAGTTATTATCGAGCTGATATTGTGAGTATATAGTCTTGATTTCCTTATTCGTCGATTCGTACTCATTTTCAAAAAGATAGAAAATGGCTGGAAATCTAGTTTTATAAAGTTTAGCATTTTCCTCCAGTCTTATCACTTTCCCAACTCATYCATATAATTTCCGTTTGATATTCTGATTAAGTTTCAATGAATGCTGAGAATTGACGTAATACCGTAGTGAAGTTACCTTGCAAACTTGGGCGAAATCCTCTCACCTTCASTTTGACCAGTTTGCAGGGCTCTCACGGCAAAAAAAACTTGTCAAACATCTGATCATTTTACATTTCCATAAATTCTAGTGCTGAAAATTCTATAGTTACCTTAAGCAAAAACAATCCTCGGGATCCCAAAAACGAGTTATAACTGACTTTTATACTTCACTGGATTTCACAAATTTCACATGGGAAACCTTCTTCTCCATACCTTAAAAAACCTCTTTCCTTGGACCAAAAACTGACGTTTTGTAGGTATAAACGACCTTTCTTGCTTCTTCTGTTCTGATGTTGTATTATTTACTTCAAGATTGTAATATTCTTCAGTAAGAAGACAACGTAGCCGTTTCCAAACAACTGGAAGAGGCCTTGACCATATGCTATTTTCTTTTCTTTGAATACTTTATTTCTTGAGCCGAAAAAGATTGTAGATGCACGCAACCTTGCTACCTTGTTCTCTTCAGTTAGGGTTGCTATAAAGATATATTATCATGAACCATCTTCAGTAGAGACCAGCGTCGGACCTGTCGAGCCGGGGAGAGCCCTTGAGAGCATATGTTATTTTCAGTATTTGTGAAGTAATTAAAGCATGGCGTCGAGCTCGTTCAAATAAAACCTGCCTTAGCGACAGTTCGAACTGATRTCACGTCTTTCAGATTTTTTATGGATTAAAAAAATGGCACTTGTAATAGCAAARTAATACTATAGTATCGCAGATTTGACTTTGAAGTGCAATTTTTTGGAACATCAAACAGTTTTATTTACAATACAAGGCTCCATTGTTGTTCATCGAGRATTTTTTTTAATTACAAATAATAATAAGTTCTTTTTGTTTATTTTATTCTTTATCTTTGCTTTCATTATAATTTTGTTTAATATTCACTCGTTGAYATGACTACACATTGAGATCACTAGTACGACATTACAGGTGGCTGTCGGCTAAAACCATGAATTGCATGTTACAAATTGTTTATAAAAACAGTATTTGTTGTGTTTTCGCGTATAGGGAGACATGATTTCAACATATTTTGATTAATGTTTCTAGCTTCTTATTACATTTTGTTGATCTAATAACAACATGGTTTTAAATTTTCAAAATATAATATCAGAAAAAGATTGACCTATGAATATTTTATTTGCAGTAGTAAATTGCACATGAAGTTAAACTCTCAATTTATTAAAAGTACTGTAATTCTTGAGCGAATGATTTATTTATTGTTTGAAACTTGTCCAAAAGGGGCCTTATTTGGTAAAACTAATTTGGCAAAACATCCCSTTGAYTAAACAAGCGAGAAAAGTTGAACTACTTCCAAACATGTGTGTTCAAAAAAACGTTTATTATGAATATTATCATTATAATAATTATTATTTCCATAACATATAACACTCTTTAATAAAAAGGAGTTATTTATCCATTCAATAACCTACAAGAATCTATGGTAATCCGCCATCTTGGATGACGTCATTGTTTAATCAAAATGGCCGCCATTTTATCGCTCGAGGCCTTCATTTGCATTTTTGCTTTGTTTGGCTGTTTTGTCGTAACTAAAAATTTGTAAAGAAGTGTAAAATCAGTTTTTTTTACCGAATTTGACATTAAAAATTCACGATTTTACCTGTTTTAAATGCCTTAAAAGTATTTCACAAAGCAGCTGTCGTCTTGTTAAAAAAGGGTGCACTTACAATGAGCTAGAATTGATATTGCTTTTCCAAATTGTTGATCTTAGACAAAAATATTATTTGCGTTGTTTTTTTTTTCAATTTTCGTGGCTTGCTTGCCTGAGGACATTACGAGTAAGACTGAATGAAGTTTAAACTAGTTTTTTTTCCTGTTTTTCGTATCTTTTTGCTCCTTTTCAAGAACGATTTGATAAACAATGATAATTATTCCCTTAACTTGATGAAAACTCTGAAAGAAAAATTGCTTTTTGATGTATTATCGATATTGTTCAATTGTTCATTATTTAAATCAATAACAATATTTTTGGCTCAAACTATCTTACAAACTTTTGGTTGGAGATCACAACAACATGGAACGGAATCATCCAAACATCTTTTCCCTTCACCCTCACCACTCCAAACAATAACTGTCATCTTTTATTGACTGTTCTGTTGATAGTCTTCTATTAAATTTCCTGGAGCACTTCTCCGGCTGAGATRTGATCATTTTTGACGTAAAGGCTTTTGTTAACCTCACTTTGATCGCTTAAACTCCAACAATTTTGATTAAGATGCGGTCTGATATACGCTGCTACGCTCCAAAGACTAGGAAACGTTCTCAAGATAAGTCGTCGGCCATCTTGGCTTGAAATGTTGAAGACACAATAGTTAATAGCTTCAGTTTTTAACTGTTTTTCTCCACAAAAAAGTCGAAGTTTTTATAATGAAATGACGCAGGTCAAGGATCTTTTCGAGAGACTTAATAGGGTAGAGTTATTTAGMCTGGAACTTAAGGAATAAAGACGAAATTAAGCAATTCCGTTGGTCATATCTTATGAATATATTGAAAAAGAGTAGCCAATGCAGCTTATATGATTCAAGGAAATTCACTCAAGCTATATTTCAGGCATATTCTTATAGACATATACTTTTCACATAATATTGGCTATTCTTAACTGATTACTAATTTTAATTAGTAAAATTACTGACAATGCAATCTATAGATTGAATGAATTTATCCACGTACAATTCAAGTTTTGACATGAAAAAGCAAAGCTATTAGTGTCTGCTTTACATGGCCTGAGAAGTTATTTTAAGATAGGTTGAAGGGCGGAACAAACACAAATTTAGGACAAGCAATTGCAATTTRATAAACAAATGAAAATGAAGAAGGTGTAGACAGATCAAAGTGAAAAGTAAGATTGAAAAAATAGTGTTTACATTAGAAAATTAGTACTATTTGTAAGYYTTATCGTCGCTTCAAATGTCAATTTGACTTTTAAGAGTTAAAAGTACGAAATAGAGTGCATGTAAAGCGCCATTAATATAACTGTTGCTTTCATATTTAATGTTAGTTCTCACAGCTTAGCCGTTATCTCTATATTATAACTCACACAGCATGACAGAAAATAACGCCCCCATCCTTAGCTATTCGTGTGTGGGTTTATTAATAACTATTTACGAATACGAGCCAAGTGTTTTTCTAGCAATTTTCGCTTTTATGTCGCTCAGTTTTGATGAGCCGGAGAAAAACTTGAAAATGACAATTCAAAAGTCTTTGTTCTTATTTAATTTATTTTGAAATACAATGGTGAAGTACCGGAAAGTAATATCAAAACAAAATGTATGCTGAAGAATTGCAGTCGAGAATTGGCACAGATGCTAACGATTTTGTTCAATATTTTATTATAATTCCTAGTTTTCCGGCCTTGGCAAGAATATTTTTTTTCAAAACTATGATGTACATCAAAGAAGGACACTTGAAAATTAAACCTCTGCAATTCACTAGGATAAAACGATTTTTTTTTCAAAACTATGATGTACATCAAAGAAGGACAAAATTAAACTTCTGCAATTCACTAGGATAAAACGAATTTTCAGAGATAAATCGGAAATCTAGTGTGATGTTTTTTGGACTGCAATCAGATTAAGGCTTCTCTAGGCGNGAGGTAAGTCAATATGATTACATGTTTTGCATTCTTATTTGTGATAGAGAGAAGTGTTATCTGTTATTACGTCTAAAAAACTGATTCAAAATTGATTCAATATTTCATTGCAATATTTTCAGAATAACTTAATCAAAAAGCACCATTACTTACTTCGCGTCGAGTACGAGTAGAACGTATCTCCATATCCCTTGCGAACAATATTGAACGGATTCGACAACTCGATGTCTGTCGAATGGTGTCGAAACCAGTCGTTAAATGTCATTACGTAATATGGAGCGGAAGGAAGAGACCTTGAAGAAAACATTGCCATAATTAGTGATAAGCAGATTAAAAATTAGCTTCAGCGAGGGAGGAATGAAACCACCCGAGAAGGGGGAAACATGGCGTGCAGAAAAGCGTCACAAGGTAGGCAAACGGGTGAATCTACTTCAAACCAATGAGAATAACTAACCGATGAATTATCAGAGCACCAAACAGTCCGTCGGCTCTCTGCATCCTAAGATGTGAGTGATACCAGTGCGTTCCGGGGGGGTCTGCTATAAACCTGTACTGGAATGATTGCTTTGTAGGTATGGGGCATTGCGTGACAAAGGGAACGCCATCCATCCATGGGTGTTGTCTCATATGGACGCCATGCCAGTGAATAGACGTGTCTTCTTTGAGCAAGTTGTTAATGACCGTGACAACCACCTCATAAAAACAGTAACGCAACACTTTGGTCAGAGGGTAAAAAATACTATTGCATGACACCATACTAGACTTATATTGCGTGACATACCTCAGCTCCTTCTAAGACTTCTATGGTTGGTCCAGGAAACTGGTCATTGATGGTAATAATTGTCTTGTTATAACCGTCCGCTGTATGGACCTTATCCAGTGGTACAGTAATGTTAGGGACAGTCCTGAAATATTTTGAAGTAATTCAACATGACTGTGAACATTTAAGTTGCACCGCCTATTATAAAATCGACCTTTAGAGAACCCCCCTTCCCTCCCTCCCCCTCCAGATATATATCATTGTCATACACAGTGTCTAAATGCCCGGCAGCCGGTCACGGTCTCTAAAAAACTCGGTGCCCGGCAGTCCAAAATTTCTACAAATTACAGCCAAATAACTGTTTCTGTTGAAACCAGATTAGGCAAAGTTTGTTTATGAATACTAAGGGATTCTTTTAAGCAGGCCTACTTTGAATAAAAAAAGCTCGCTGGTCTTTGCTCGGCATAGTATACAAAACATCTTTATCGTGGCTTTCCGTCGAAACCTGACTTAATGTAACAATGGTCACGCTCTCTTCCTTCAAGTCGGCAGAACGGCTTTAAACAAGCAAATCAAACTTTCTTAACTTGACTTTAAACTCAGTAGAGCGCTATTTATTTCTCCTAATCTACTTTGCCGTAGAGTTTGGCGGTCTTTCCTTGACACAATTCTTGACTGCCGGTCACGGTCTCTAAAAAACTCGGTGCCCGGCAGTCCAAAATTACTCCAGATTACAGCCAAATAACTGTTTCTGTTGAAACCAGACTAGGCAAACTCACGCTCTCTTTCTCTTTTCACGTGTTCAAAATTTCCCGCCACTTTTTAGCGTGACCTGTCACACTATCACGAGCGCAATAAGGCCCGGGTCGCACTTTGAAACAATTCTAGAACAATTCTGTTTAGTTTAGCACAAACTGTCAAAATTCTGTCACCACTGTACCAAAACAAGTGCGACCGATTTGTTTCGAACCGTTCTAAAATTGTGTTCCGCAACAAAACTTCAAAGCCGCTGATGTACTGCTTTTTAGCCCTACTTTTGCAGTTCAACAAACAAAATGGCGTTAAAAACGTCAATCATTATTTCCGCAAACGGCGCTCCCAACTATATTGCTGAAGCTCACATTACCGMTAGGCGTGCGGTATTCTTCTTTGTGAACAATCTACACGTCTTCACAACAAGCATATTTTGGATCTCATATTTTAACATGAATAACCATTTTTACTACTACTAACTGGGACGGCCCAGCGGACCAGAATGATGATGATTACCAGCCTGGCACACTTTTTCGGYGACGTTTCGCGCAACAACTACCGGTTTATCCGACATCTACGCCGCCAATCCCAATGCAGATAGAAGTTGTAAATCGTTTAAATGCATCTTGAACAGGAAATCAAAAACTCTCAGCTAACGTAACTCAAACATCGAATGCTTAAAAAGTGCGACAAAAGTTATATTGTCATCCGATATTTTGATATGCAATATGAACATATGTTTATCTGTCATCACTACATAGTGTAAATATAATTTAGACCATAGTGCGACCACAAATAAAGTGAGTTGGAATTGTTACGCCAATGATTCGCTCGGTGTTTGTACTGAACATGTTTGAAACAATTAATTCGAAAAACCGGTCCAAGTCCAAGAAAAGAGATCTAAACTTTTGATCGAATTTTAAGGCTACATAATGGGTCGCTTAGTATTTCTAAACAAACTATGCCTTGTCTGGTTTCAACACAGTAAAACCCGATTTAGACGGTGCAACTTTTGTCTACAACTATCGCATAATCATCCTTACAACAGGGCTCCTATGAATTTCAAACAATTCAACAAGGTATCAGCGTACCCAAAACCGTCACATTTTAATGATTTTTTTATTTTTATATCATTGGAAAGGTCTTAATTGGATTAATGGAGTTGATGACAGCTCACATCAAACGAGTTTTATATACGACCGTGTAGAGTGAGTCGATTGAAGCATGGCGTAAGATACAAAAGAATATGTATTTGGATTGCCAATGTGAAGGTCCAATAAGCAATTTATTCGATAAATTATGCTCACCGGCAGTTTTTATATGTTAAGTATGTCCGTCCTTTGGATCCAGAGTTGTATATATCACCCTCATGTTGATTCTTGGTTTTCTGCTTCTTTCTCCCTCTCTTTTCTCGGGATCACTCTATTTCTTTCTTTTGTATTAGTTTAGTTTATGATTTTATACGTTTTGATTTGAAACGGCCAAAATTTGCGAGAAAAGGAATCAACTATACATTTACAATAGTCCACTTCGCGGATAACACAGCTATTAGAAATTGAGCAAATATCGAAAAACTATTACCATCACTGGAAAGAACAGTATAAAATTAGTATGTTTACCAGGTTTGAGCTTGATTCGATGAAAATTCAAGGAGATGCAGCGTTTAAAATTCGGCAAAATTTACAAAGAAATGTATGGTCTGTCGGCATGAGATCGAGGTTGACCTTGACTTGTTACAACCTCGCCAAACATTTCTATGCAAAATTTAGTGTTTTTGAAGTGCCGTATCTCTTTGAATTTAAATAAGATTATTTTCAAACTTGGCAAATTTGCTTATTTTATGACGCTCTTTCCAGTGATGTCAATGATTTACCATAACGACAATAATGACGATATAACGACGATAATGTAAAATTTCGAATTATCCGCGAAGTGGACTATTAGCATATCCTTGCTTCGCTTTGGTATCGCTAATCAGCTTCTTGGCCTTTGGCATTCCTGGACATTATCGAATATTAGCTTCGGCCTAACCGAAATTTGCTACAAAGAAACTATATTTGTAGTAAAATCTTATGAGTTACAAGTTGATTTTGTTGAATTAAGTAAACTGACCGTACTACTACTTCAATCGGTTCTATAGCTGTCATCGCATCTTTTATGCTAAAATGACGTAGTTTCCGACCCGGTATAAGCCGGTTAGCAACAAAATTGTCTCTGGGATTTTGATAAGTCGTCTTTTTTCAAAAGTTATTCAAGGTTCTCTAAAGAACTTGACATAATTTTGCGTTCCTAAACTCTATTACAATATTAAATCAAAACGAGAGCGCGTATAAAAAATCGCAGACACAATTTCTGGGATATGTGAACAAAAGAACAGCGCTTAAATTGAATTTTTTCCGATAAATCTTTCAGACTTGGAGTTCGTTTTATACAGGCATGTAGTTTCAGATAAAGGAGCTAATAACTCTAAAACATAATTTTTAATGCATTTTAAACACTTATAGGCATAAACTACAGTTACTAAGCTTTCAGAAAATATATACTTTGTGAGCATTTGCAAAACAACAAGAAGGTTATAGTCGATGACGCGAGTAGGGGTGGCGTGAGTACGCTGATACCCACGACAGTTGTAGCCATGTCGTAAGGTGACATACGCAGGTCGCATGCGATAGTTGTAGGCAAAAGCTGCACCGTCTAAATCGGCCTTGTTATACACACCCAGAGTTGAATTGGAGATCAATGACACGTAAAAAATGTTTATAATCTAAAATCAGTAAACTGTTGTACCTGTGAAAGGTGGTTTCTTGTAGTTTTAACACACCATCATCGTCGACTCTTACTTGATACGCGTGATCAACATCAAACCTGTACATCATGCTTCGTGTTTCACGAATATCAAACTCGTATTCACAAATCGACTTGGTGCATATCTCGCCTGTACCTGGATAAACTCCGATTATCAATAAAATCCCTAATACCAGGCAAGAAATCTTGCAACTCGCAATCGCGATCATTTTGCGTTTGTTCAACGAATTGGAACAAGAGAAAATCGTGGCACTTCGCGTATCGAGCAGTAGAGTCAAGGGTGGCGAAGCAAGGGTGACACATGGCCAGAAAATCCAGACATTTGAGCCCGCAATCGCAGCGGTACTTCGCATAAATGCATAAAAACATGTTTGCAAATTTTACAAAGAAATGTATGGATCAAAACAAATATTTGAGAATAACATTTCATCTGTTTTAACTGGAAAGATTCCATAGATAAATTCGTAGAGGGAAACTATTCTTGATTCCACTGTAGGAAATCCAAATAAATCCAATATTGTTAACAGCGTCCTTTTTGACAATAAATTTTCCTTTCGTCGTCTCCCTTTGGCCTTGTATCTCATGGTGAAAATTCGTGAAGAAGCGAAATTTCACCATATCTGATCGTGTTCCTTTACACGTCACTGATATTCCATAGATCATTTCTCAAAGTCCACATATTGAGGTAGGAACACAGCGATTTTCAGCTATTTTGAAGACGATCAACAGCGTTCTTTTTGGTACTARAAATCGTACAATTTGAAAACACTAACTTGACGGTGAAATGGCTGGCGAAGACGCGTGTTTCACGCGAATACTTGGCCTAATCTTCTATTTTCTTTCCATTTTATTCTCCATGTTTGGTACCAAAATAAACCTTAGAAACGTGGCTTTCAGACTGGGACTGCTTTAATTTTGGTGTTTTTTTCTGGCAACTTGCGCGCACTGGTAAATAGCGCAGATAGCGGGAAATACGAACGAAAGATAGGCCAATCAAGTCTAGTGTAAACAATGTCAGACCTTTTAAATTCCTTAGAAATGTACAGGGTCCCTGGAAATAGCGTTACAAGTTACGAAGTTACAAAGTTACGAAGTCACAAGGTTAAATTCTGTTACATTCTGTTACATGTTACATAAGCCTTTGGTCAGTGACCCCTGTACTGATGTACATGTGATGTCTGTGATAAGAAGTCGCACGGTGCAAGGGCACCAGGATGGGCACCTTTTAACCATGAAGGGCGCCAGTTTTTGAACAGTGATTACGATTGTATTTGCTATAGCTTTGAGTATCTTAGAAATTCACTTACTGAATTCTTGTGTATATTTTGAGTCACAGGTAGCCCAAGCTATACATTTTAACCGTTTTTAGTAATTTTGCGAAATATGCTAGTTCAATAAAAAATAAACATCTCTACCTGGGTGTTTTCTTTGTATTCCGGTTGAGTTTCAGGCCATTTTGAGCTATTTTGAGACATTTATTGCTATTGTTATCATTCGCTCTAAAAAGAAGGGAAGGTAGCTAAGTCCAGGGACCGCGGTATCGAGATTAGAGATTATTGTTAATCATACTAGCTCTCCTTGGCCGGTAACCATTAAATCGATAAGCAACTGTACAAAAACAGTATTATTTGATTCTCTGACTTATATAGTTATCAACTTTAAACAAAAGGTTACGACTTACCTGTTGAAAAACAAAGTGTGCTTTGCACTACTGATTGAGATTTCTKTCTTATTTGATAAGCACTTTGAAGATTCCCAAAGCCTTGTTTGCCTGAACAAACCTCCTCTAATCTCRAAAGCCTTCTTTACGACTTTACAATAAGCAGCAACGGTCACTGTTTTCGTTTCTACGGATATTATGTGTTTTTAGCTGTTTTATATTAATAAACTAAGCGTGGCCATGGGAGATTTAACGCCTTCTAAAGTATCTCGCAAATAGGTCTTCGCTGTGCAATTCTGATTATGATTGTGCGCATGCGTACTTGTGATATGTGTCCAGACGCGCCTCAATTCTGGATGCAAAACACCCAGTTTAAAAGTTTTATCTCGGATTATACATGATTTTTTTTTTATTTTTTACACAAGAAAAATTGGGAAATTGTCGTTGTCAGTGCAAGAGCTTTATTTGCTTTCTCCTCTTTTTATAGCCATCTTAGGCGTAACTGAGAGGAGATGGACGACACAATGACAAAAAATGTAGGCTAGTAAATTAATACACCTTTATGAGCCTTAATAGTAGGCGCTTGTTTCAAGGTTTCATAGTAATATCGTTTACTCCGACCCTTTTCTTTGCTTTCTTCTTCATCACACACCACAGAAAGATATTGACGACCAGAGCCAACAAAGCACAAATCAGCGCACAGCACGTGATCACCAGATAAATCCACGTGCCCTGAAACACAAAATCACGTGATCAATTTACTTCTTGCAAGCAGAATGTTATTTACTTTACCCCCGTAGATCACGAAATAAATAATAATTCTGAAGTGCTCGCTGGGTATTTAAAGCTTCAATCAATCTATTTATTAATGGTTACACTAACAATTTATTTAAAATTGTATTCAGTCTCTCATATATCAAAAATAGGAGAGCTGTCGTCTCTTACCTGACAGTCTTTGTTCTCATTACTGCTCCCCCCTGTACCGACACGTGCACAGTATTTACTGTCATCCAAACACTCCTTGTTTTYCTTTGTATAACTACTGAAACTGCTGTGATCCTGGCTGAATTCCTGGCATGTTGGAAATCCGGGGGGTGCAGGAGGCTGATGGGGGAATGRCTCGTTGAAGATCATCCCCATTCCTTCAGCTAAGTGATTTCCCACGTGACAATGCACGAACCAGTAACCTAGGTAACATGAAATACAAATGCTATAATCTTGTCGGACATTTTAGTGGATTAAACAGAATGGGTACGCATCATCATTAGTTTATTATATAGCTCTATCGCGTTTTCTCTTCCACCCTTAACAGTAGTGTAATGGAAAACAGCAAGCACGGTCCAATATCCCATCCAACAACGGGGAGAGTGCAAATAGTCTTCTTCACGGTTCCCTGCGCCATCTTGAAAGGTAGCCGTGCCTTTACATTGAAGCGAGAAAACCGTTGAGCGTGCAATGACAGAAACCTTCTTTCACACCTACAGACAATCATACAGAGATATCTATCATTGCACGCTCAACGGTCGTCTCGCTTCGATNAAATGACAATTCAAAAGTCTTTGTTCTTATTTAATTTATTTTGAAATACAATGGTGAAGTACCGGAAAGTAATATCAAAACAAAATGTATGCTGAAGAATTGCAGTCGAGAATTGGCACAGATGCTAACGATTTTGTTCAATATTTTATTATAATTCCTAGTTTTCCGGCCTTGGCAAGAATATTTTTTTTCAAAACTATGATGTACATCAAAGAAGGACACTTGAAAATTAAACCTCTGCAATTCACTAGGATAAAACGATTTTTTTTTCAAAACTATGATGTACATCAAAGAAGGACAAAATTAAACTTCTGCAATTCACTAGGATAAAACGAATTTTCAGAGATAAATCGGAAATCTAGTGTGATGTTTTTTGGACTGCAATCAGATTAAGGCTTCTCTAGGCGTATGTAAGCAAAATGTAATTCATGGAGGCTTATAAGTCAAGAAAATCGAATGCGAATCAATCCCAAAATAAAGGACATATGATAGTTGCAATATATAACAGTAATTCAGACTTCTTCACCCTGATTGGCGAAATGTAGTATTTTTTATGCTTGTAAACTGTGCTTGTTAGCAATGTATGACTATATATAGGTTCGTACCAGTACAACTCTGCACTGTTAGAAAGAGTGTTTATATAAAAGTAATTTCGACCTCTTTCCGTTAATTGGTGAAATGTAGTATACCTTGCTTGTAACAGAGGTTGTTAGCAATGTATAACGCTAGGTCCTACCTTGTGCAGAGGTTGTTAGCAATGTATAACGCTAGGTCCTACCTTGTACAGCTATGCACTGTTATAAAGAGTTATTTTATCGTTTTACGCCAAGTTCTGTACATATATCGTGTGCACCACAGAGCTAAGCTGCTTCTCTCTCGATAAGGCGTACATACATTATGACTTATTCCAGCCAGGTGGCATGATACCATTGATTCGAAATATCTAGATTAATATTCCACCTGACGAGCGTGTATTCACTAATAGACAAGACTTGCGGGAGGTTTCTGATGTCAAAAGTCATTATTTTCTTGTTTTGGTATAGCTAATGGATCTATGAACATTATTTTCACTCTTTGGTCCACAGCAATTAATCATGGACTTAGTCACGAGGTTAGAACATTGAAATCTGATTGGTTGAAACTGCGTCCAACGTAGTTTCCTGAAGACCGCCACATGAGAGTTTCATTAACTTTGAAGACTTCAGCTGTGATTCTTTATAATAGTTTTTTGTAGTTTTTTTTTGAAAGCAGCGCTTATTTATGCACAAAGGTTCTTATTGGGTTCTTATTGAAAAAATAATACTGATTTTTTTTTCAATAATGAAGAATGATACTGCGTTTGAACTGGTCGAAARATATCACAATAGTTTATAAATACTTGATTTCTCATGAGCGGAAATGAAAAAATKATACTACCCGAAGAAATGAAAATTCAACAATGTTTTTGAGAAATTCATCACATTTATCTTAAATTTCCAACTCTCAGCTCATAGCATAGTATTAACTATGCTAACAGGAATCCCTGTTAAGAAAGATTACTTTGGCTACCTGATGTTAAATGATCTTGATTATCTTCATGAAATTGTAAACTGCGTGCTTTGGTATTTCTAACCCTGGTTCTGACTTTCCGAATTTGTGCATCTTGAAAGTACCGTACTTCTAGATACGAAAACAGAATATGAGACGTGTCTCAGAATATTGCCACAATTGGATTAAAAAAATACCATTTTATATGCTGAACTTCGACTTTCTTCTTATTAAATGGACGGAAAAAAACGTCAGAATTAGAGGACATAGACGCGATTAACTTGACATTTTAAAGCTCAAATATCATTATAACTTATAATAAGGTTTATCAATCCGTCTATATGGCTTGTTTAGAAAATTGTATTTAAATAATCGGTACCTTTTATGACGTATTCAAATGATCAATATATTTTTATACTCTGAGTGATGCCACTAATGTTGAAATCTGTACTTTTAATTTAAAATCAAAACAAACTTTGTTATATACTGGTTATGTTTAAATTAGACTGATAATTTTTATGAATTGTTTCTAGATTTATTCTAATGATTTTAGTCATATACTTACACATGGGGGCGTTTAAATCGTATAATTTTTGAATATTTAATGAAAATGTGGAGCAGACAATATCATTATAAACAGTGAACAAAAATAATATCTATTTAAACAGCATTAAAAGTATATRAATATTCTAACACTCTAGAAAAATAAGTATAAAAAGAACAAACCTGTAAGTGTGTAAAACTAAACTTGTCTTAGTCGCTCGTGTATATTTGCTATTTCGCTGTCTATTAACAAATTAAACCTGCTTCAAACGTTGTGTGTCTTTTTAATATGCAATGTTGAATGTGAAGAATCCATGTYGATGAAAATCTCCCCGTAGTATCGAGATTATTGTTAATCATGCTAGCTCTCCTTGGCCAGCAACCGTTAAATCGATAAGCAACTGTACAAAAACAGTACTATTTGATTCTCTGACTTATACAGTTATCAACTTTAAACAAAAGGTTACGACTTACCTGTTGAAAAACAAAGTGTGCTTTGCACTACTGATTGAGATTTCTTTCTTATTTGATAAGCACTTTGAAGATTCCCAAAGCCTTGTTTGCCTGAACAAACCTCCTCTAATCTCAAAAGCCTTCTTTACGACTTTACAATAAGCAGCAACGGTCACTGTTTTCGTTTCTACGGATATTATGTGTTTTTAGCTGTTTTATATTAATAAACTAAGCGTGGCCATGGGAGATTTAACGCCTTCTAAAGTATCTCGCAAATAGGTCTTCGCTGTGCAATTCTGATTATGATTGTGCGCATGCGTACTTGTGATATGTGTCCAGACGCGCCTCAATTCTGGATGCAAAACACCCAGTTTAAAAGTTTTATCTCGGATTATACATGATTTTTTTTTATTTTTTACACAAGAAAAATTGGGAAATTGTCGTTGTCAGTGCAAGAGCTTTATTTGCTTTCTCCTCTTTTTATAGCCATCTTAGGCGTAACTGAGAGGAGATGGACGACACAATGACAAAAAATGTAGGCTAGTAAATTAATACACCTTTATGAGCCTTAATAGTAGGCGCTTGTTTCAAGGTTTCATAGTAATATCGTTTACTCCGACCCTTTTCTTTGCTTTCTTCTTCATCACACACCACAGAAAGATATTGACGACCAGAGCCAACAAAGCACAAATCAGCGCACAGCACGTGATCACCAGATAAATCCACGTGCCCTGAAACACAAAATCACGTGATCAATTTACTTCTTGCAAGCAGAATGTTATTTACTTTACCCCCGTAGATCACGAAATAAATAATAATTCTGAAGTGCTCGCTGGGTATTTAAAGCTTCAATCAATCTATTTATTAATGGTTACACTAACAATTTATTTAAAATTGTATTCAGTCTCTCATATATCAAAAATAGGAGAGCTGTCGTCTCTTACCTGACAGTCTTTGTTCTCATTACTGCTCCCCCCTGTACCGACACGTGCACAGTATTTACTGTCATCCAAACACTCCTTGTTTTYCTTTGTATAACTACTGAAACTGCTGTGATCCTGGCTGAATTCCTGGCATGTTGGAAATCCGGGGGGTGCAGGAGGCTGATGGGGGAATGRCTCGTTGAAGATCATCCCCATTCCTTCAGCTAAGTGATTTCCCACGTGACAATGCACGAACCAGTAACCTAGGTAACATGAAATACAAATGCTATAATCTTGTCGGACATTTTAGTGGATTAAACAGAATGGGTACGCATCATCATTAGTTTATTATATAGCTCTATCGCGTTTTCTCTTCCACCCTTAACAGTAGTGTAATGGAAAACAGCAAGCACGGTCCAATATCCCATCCAACAACGGGGAGAGTGCAAATAGTCTTCTTCACGGTTCCCTGCGCCATCTTGAAAGGTAGCCGTGCCTTTACATTGAAGCGAGAAAACCGTTGAGCGTGCAATGACAGAAACCTTCTTTCACACCTACAGACAATCATACAGAGATATCTATCATTGCACGCTCAACGGTCGTCTCGCTTCGATGTAAAGGCACGGCTAACTTTCAAGATGGCGCAGGGAACCGTGCCCTATTAAGGGCAAATTGACAAACAAGCACGTTTTGCCTACAAGGACTATTTTAGTTTTTGCATCCTCAAAAAGATGGCCATTTGAAAGCTACAAAATCAGCCACAAACTGATTTAAGTCTTAAAGATAAAGCAAATGGTTTCGGGTATTCATTGGCAGGGACGATTTGTTTCAATTTTCTTCAATTACCTGGATTATCGCTAATAAAACGAACCACAACATAACCATACGCTGGTACGATTACGGTGTCTTTAAGCGGAGGATCATTAAAGTTGAGATCCTTTGGTGCACCCGCTGACCAGTGACTGAGACTGCAGTGTTTGTTGTCGCAAGTAATGTCGGGATTGGCTTGAAGAATTTTTCCCGAAGTTTGGTTTTGGATGGGAWAGCCTATTTTAAGCACCTAGAGTAATGAAATAGAAAAGAATGATGGACACGCAGAGCTCGTGTTGATTGGTCAAGGTTAAAGTTACATGTCTATTTAGATTGCCATGATCCAAAATCTTACACAGGAGACCCAAGCACTAGTCTGCTCTTACCTGAAAACTGTGACCATGTATGTGGATTGGGTGACTGTACTTGTTTGTCCCACTGTAAGCTGCCATAACAAGTTGAATCGTTTTCTTAGCAGGTAAATCCACCACGTTCGTGCAGGCGCACACTTCTTCATCGCAATCACGTGAACAAGGTGTGAGACCCCACGTGGATGGACTTTGAACCAATGGGGCACGTGGTAAAATCAGACGCCGACCGTTGACCGCACCGCCTTTCGGGAAGCCAAAATCGAGAAAAACTTCGTGAACTTCATCGTCTTTAGTGTTTGGTATTTTYTCAGGGTCATARAAACTTGTATCGAGAGAAAGGTTCGACACAGGAATACATGTCTGATGTGGATACCATATCTGTTCGTGAARATGAAATARAAGTTATACATTTATCAGGYTAGATAAACTCAGAATCGACGGTAAAGATCGGAACGTTTGCCGTGCTAACATTGCGTTGTTTTGTGGCGAGCAACAAACCAGAGTGACGTGTTTACAAAGAAATCTCTGGAGTTCCCGTAAGTCAACACTAGTGAACATCGGTGCAAGAATTAAAACATGTCGTCAAATATCGACACGTGTACTCGAAGAAATCCTTCGCGTCGTCATGTACAACTATGATACCGATCGAAACATCACCTCAAAACGAAGGAAAAATGCAGCGACTAGTTCTTTAAAAAGATCCTCGAGTAATATCATACATCCCTACCTTACTATATATTTTCCACGGACAATTCAGCACTACACATGGTTGTTCTGCTGTGCAATTTCGTTCTGTAGTCGTTGGATCACCGCTATAAGCAGTACCCACATACTCAAGTATACCCATGGCATCCCATAGATCCCCGTCAGGTGGAGAGTCTAAACCAATCCCAGTCCTCATGTTGATCGCTCGTATCCAGTAACGGCCTGGTTGCTGATTGGCTGTGATTTCAAAACTGTAGGATTCGCCAGGAAAGATTATTGCATAGTCAACCTGAACTCGTTTCACTCGATGCCCATCACTCTCGATGACGGTCAGGGGGTGTTGGTCGATGGAAATTCTGAGATATTTTCAAAAGGAAAGAAATTACTACTGACACCTCTACGATCTCTAAATTACGGGTATCAAAAGTCAAAATAACTGGTTAACATATAAGATATAAAGGCACTAACCTGTAAGAATAAGCCAAACCAGTGTTAATCATATGTAATACATATTTCTTTCCTTGTTTTACGGTGAACACACTTAACGGTGCCTTATTGTTATGGCGTCCTTTGCCGTTTATTAATCCCGACCAGTACTGAATTGGTGACTCGAGGGTCCCGTCAAACATGTAGCCTAAAGGAATGATCAATTATACATAGAGGATCAGTGGAAAACATCCGTTGTGAGGTAAGTCAATATGATTACATGTTTTGCATTCTTATTTGTGATAGAGAGAATAGAAGAGTTATCTGTTATTACGTCTGAAAAACTGATTCAAAATTGATTCAATATTTCAATGCAATATTTTCAGAATAACTTAATCAAAAAGCATGCACCATTACTTACTTCGCGTCGAGTACGAGTAGAACTTATCTCCATATCCCTTGCGAACAATATTGAACGGACTCGACAGCTCGATGTCTGTCGAATGGTGTCGAAACCAGTCGTTAAATGTCATTACGTAATATGGAGCGGAAGGAAGAGACCTTGAAGAAAACATTTCCATAATTAGCGATAAGCAGATTAAAAATTAGCTTCAGCGAGGGAGGAATGAAACCACCCGAGAAGGGGGAAACATGGCGTCCAGAAAAGCGTTACAAGGTAGGCAAACGGGTGGATCTACTTCAAAACAATGAGAATAACTAACCGATGAATTATCAGAGCACCAAACAGTCCGTCGGCTCTCTGCATCCTAAGATGTGAGTGATACCAGTGCGTTCCGGGGGGGTCTGCTATAAACCTGTACTGGAATGATTGCTTTGTAGGTATGGGGCATTGCGTGACAAAGGGAACGCCATCCATCCATGGGTGTTGTCTCATATGGACGCCATGCCAGTGAATAGACGTGTCTTCTTTGAGCAAGTTGTTAATGNTGATTTAGTTGCGTGACATACCTCAGCTCCTTCTAAGACTTCTATGGTTGGTCCAGGAAACTGGTCATTGATGGTAATAATTGTCTTGTTATAACCGTCCGCTGTATGGACCTTATCCAATGGTACAGTAATGTTAGGGACAGTCCTGAAATATTTTGAAGTAATTCAACATTACTGTGAACATTTAAGTTGCACCGTCTATTATAAAATCGACCTTTAGAGAACCCCCCTTCCCTCACTCCCCCTCCAGATATATATCATGTGTCATGTGAGATGCACAGTGTCTAGATGCACCACGGCAGCCGGTCACGGTCTCTAAAAAACTCAGTGCCCGGCAGTCCAAAATTACTCCAAATTACAGCCAAATAAGCTCTTTTAAGCAGGCCTACTTTGAGTAAAGCTCGCTGGTCTTTGCTCGGCATAGTATACAAAACACCTTTATCGTGGCACTYARAAATTTTCCGTCGAAACTTGRCTTAACAATGGTCACGCTCTCTTTCTTCAAGTCGGCAGAATGGCTTTAAACAAGCAAATCAAACTTGACTTTAAACTCAGTAGAGCGCTATTTATTTCCTAATCTACTTTGCCGTAGARTTTGDCGGTCTTTCCTTGACACAATTCTTGACTGCCGGTCACGGTCTCTAAAAAACTCGGTGCCCGGTAGTCCAAAATTTGCCTAGTCTGGTTTCAACAGGAATTAGGGTTATTTGGCTGTAATTTGGAGTAATTTTGGACTGCCGGGCACCGAGTTTTTTAGAGACCGTGACCGGCTGCCGGGCATCTAGACACTGTGCTTTTATGCTAAAATGACGTAGTTTCCGATATGGTCTTATAATCTGGTATTACCCGGTATAATCCGATTACGGACTAAAAACTGTTTTTGACTCGAAGCAAAATTTACGGTAATTACTGACCTACCACACCCATTTTCTATTGTTTTCAATCGGTTTTGGTATTTTAGGTAAAACCTGCATTCTAAAAGCTGGGGGCGGCATTTATTATCATCAGGGGAGATTGGGGCTGACTAAAGCTTGAACCAGGTCTTGAAAATAAAAATCAAGATCTGAAACAAGTCTTGAAATCGATTTTCAAAACCTGGTACCTGGAGATCACTGATGAAGGAGAGGATTGCATTCTGCAGTTGTTAGCTCAATCACTTTAATACAAAGTTGTCTTTCGCACTTTGCAAATGAATAAGGCCAATGTTTGATTTAAAAAAAAAACTATATGTAGGGCATACGTTTTAAACTCCAAGTCAGACACCCGTCAACCAATTTTAATCAAATTTCGTAGCATTGTTTACAGATAATTAAGCAACAAAATTGTGTCTGGGATCAGATTTTGATAAGTCTTTTTTTTAAAAAGTTATTCAAGGTTCTCTAAAGAACTTGACATAATTTTGCGTTCCTAAACTTTATTATAATATTAAATCAAAACGAGAGCGCGTATAAAACATCGCAGACACAATTTCTGAGAAAAATATGTGTGAACAAAAGAACAGCGCTTAAATTGAATTTTTCCGATAATTCTTTCAGACTTGGAGTTCGTTTTATACAGGCATGTAGTTTCAGATAAAGGAGCTAATAACTCTAAAACATAATATTAAATGCATTTCATAAACTACAGTTACTAAGCTTTCAGAAAATACTTTGTGAGCATTTGYAAAACAACAAGAAGGTTATAATCGATGAAGCGAGTAGGGGTGGCGTGGGTACGCTAATACCCACGACAGTTGTAGCCATGTCGTAAAGGCCGATTTAGACGACACAACTTTTTCTTACAACCATCGCATGCAACCTGCGTAAGTCATCCTTACAAAATGGCTACAACTGTCGTAGGGATTTTAAACAATTGCTTAATAGCCTCACGACAGTCGTAGCCATGTCGTAAGGATGACTTACGCAGGTCGCATGCGATAGTTGTAGGCAAAAGTTGTACCGTCTAAATCGGCCTTGTTATACACACCCAGAGTTGAATTGGAGATCAATGACACGTAAAAAATGTTTATAATCTAAAATCAGTAAATTGTTGTACCTGTGAAAGGAGGTTTCTTGTAGTTTTAACACACCATCATCGTCGAYTCTTACTTGATACGCGTGATCAACATCAAGTCTGTACATCATGCTTCGTGTTTCACGAATATCAAACTCATATTCACAAATCGACTTGGTGCATATCTCACCTGTGGCTGGATAAACTCCGATTATCAATGAAATCCCTAATACCAGGCAAGAAAACTTGCAACTCGTAATCGCGATCATTTTGCGTTTGTTCAACGAATGGAACAAGAGAAAATCGTGAGGATGGATCACTCAAGGATTCTGATCATCGGGTATCGGGTCCACAAAATCGGATCCGTTTACCAATCGGGTCATCGGGGTCATCATCCGATCGGGGTAGTACGGCGGAAGCCCAGAAGGACGGATCACAAAAAACGTGGATCCAAAAACGTGGCGTACATTTGAGACGTGATGGCAAACTTAATCCGTTGGTGACAAACTAAATGACAGCATGGCAAACTTAATCTTAAGAAATTTGGTCGCGTTCTTTTCGTTATGAACGAGCCCAAATTACAAAGCGTTTCAAAGATCTCCGCTATAAAAAAGTATTTTTGTGAGTACTCTATAAGGTAAATATGTTATAGCTTGGCTAATATTTCACAGTCAGTTATTTTTAATACACTATTCACAACAACTTATTGCGTTCACATTGATGGAATAGCCCGGGGGGGGGACTCCCTAATATCAAAGGGCGGGGGTCCTCGGCGTCCCTTTTAGGGTTTGAAATTAGTATTTTGGTCCCGCTTAGGGTGATCATGAAAAGAATTCCTACCAACTGTGTTTTGTGGTCCCTTTTAGGGTATACGGCGACCCTAAGCAGTCATAAAATGGCAACGTCGCCATAAACTCAATACGAGCCGACGGTGTTCGATGATTGTGTAAAAACACAAATAAAATCGGTAAACCAAAACAAAATGACCTGTTATTGATTGGTCCCTTTTAGGGTTGAAATTTCAGCACTGCCACGCCCATCATCTCACAATAGAGGTCCCTTTTAGGGGTCATTTTCACAATCTCCGCCGAGGACCCCCGCCCTTTGATATTAGGGAGTCCCCCCCCCGGG